ATATATATATATATATATATATATATAATATTCTCAGAATATAGAAGAAGATTGAAAAAAAAGATTGCAACAAAAATGAAAAGAGGCGATTACGAGACAAAGTTTAAAAGAAAGAGAACAAAAATCTGAACTGTAGAATCCTAACAGCTATACTTTGTCCCGTTCTTCTGTTCAACACTCGCACCAAAAAGCAATTAACTAATCAGTACGCTGATGCCGTCAAAGTGTAATAGCTTTTAGAAATGGACTTCTGCTATTATTACACCCAAGAGGAGAAAAGTGTTGTATAAACTACTCACGCAATCAGGACAGTGAATTGTGAGACACGCTAATCAGCTTTGACTTATTTCCCACTTTCTCTTGTCTCATTTTAATTATACTTCATCTTTCATAATCTATGATTCGTCCCTTTGCATCTTCTTAAAAAGTTCCTTCTCAAGGTTAATTTTTGACTATCTTTTTGAATTAAGTAATTAGTTTCATGAAATAATAAAAGCAGACTCTTCTCCAGTGCAAACTCAATTAGCGCCAGTTGTCGACTTTTATGAACACAACTGAAACACGAGAGTAAACATGTATTTCAGAAGACTAGAGGATGGTCAGGAAGTGTGAGAACTGCGAGTAGATGAACTGCCTAGGGATAGATTCAAACTTTCCAGATCTGTTACCATACAAGCATTTTTTCCCTTTCATTTTGCTGCTGGCCTCTTCGCTGTCAGCTCCTTCCAACAGTCGCACCAAAAAGCAATTAACTAGTCAGTACGCTGATGCCGTCAAAGTGTAATAGCTCCTAGAAATGGACTCCTGCTATTATTACACGCAAGAGGGGAAAAGTGTTGTATAAACTACTCACGCATTCAGGACAGTGAATTGTGAGACACGCTAATCAGCTTCGACATCTGGCGCAAGGAAGCACAACACTGCAGAGAAATCGGATCAAAAGTAAGGCGAAAAGTGAGTTCACTGAAGCAATAGGTTTGAATAAGAGCACGGGGCTATTCTTCCAGTCCACCGGTTTTGACAGGCCTAATTCGTCATTCAGCTAAGAAGAGGAATCCAGAATTGTTGTAAATTGTAAATCCACTTTTGCGTACATACCATTTTTTTTGAGCCTATTGATTAACCTAATCTTCTAAATGTCCAATCGTACTTATTTTTAAAGTACATATAAATACAGCGAGCTCCGCGAGTTGGAAGTTTAGTTCGATCCAAAAAATGACGACGGGCGCTATTGACTGCATTGGCGCCATCGCGTAAAGAACCTGCTGTTACCTTTACGCCATCGACTTATTTCTTCCCTTCTCTTTTCTTTCTGACAGAAAAGAGGTGTTATACTTTTATTTAGTTCACATGCTGTATTTGGGAGATTACTATATGTACCTTAATACAAGTGTAACTTCTTATTTTTCAACAGGTATATTTGATCTATATCTGTCAGAGGCTTATGAAAGGGTTCTCTTACTCGCTCAGTATTCAGTTACTATTCTTGTCGCGACCATACAGGCAAATTTAAAGTAAAAGGTAGTTAAGCACTGTATGCTCGCTGAGGGGGAACTCTTGGAGGGATAACAGGAAGGAAAGTACAGAAGTCACTCAGGCGTATAAGCAAGCGGTGGCGCTTACCGTCTTTTAGTGTCAATATTCTCCAAATCGGATTTTGATTAATGTCGTCGTTTTTTTACGTTCGTGTTCTTTACTATCTCACCGCCTGCCCATAGGCAGATAAATTCACTGTGTTTGTTCGTTTTCATTAATATTAAATAATTGTTTTTATATGGTTTCTTATTTGACTGACTGTTTATACTACAGAGTGTACAGCAGTTATTGAGACTGCTCTCTGCAGGTTCATATATATTTTAATGCTGCGAAGTGTGTCAAATAAACTAGTAAAGCGAAGTATTCGTCTTTCTCACACAATAAGTCAGCACTTTAGATCTGCGAGTTCAATAAAAAAAGATAACGTGTATAGTAAGTTCTACCTTGGTCAGTTCAGTGGTTGGCACTTTGAGTGGCAAGGACTAATTTCGCTCACAGTAATAGCTTATAGAAATTAGGTCCCAAGAGACATCCAGAAGAGAAGACATGGAGGGCAGATCTTCAATTTTAGAAAACTGTCTGTTAGCCACGACAGTTCTAGCTATTGTTCTTAGTTCTCGGCTTGTTACGTTTCTCGCTGTTTTGATAAATTCGTTCGGTCAATTCAACTAGTACTTTACGGAACATAACAGATACAAGGGCTGCAAAAACTTTTTCGGTCTCCTTTTTTACTCTGCAAACCTCGGAGTTGCAAAAGAATGGTGCAAGTCCACTTTGGTTACAGTAATTACACGTACTTTACAACAGCGAAGTAATGTTCATCCGCAGAATCTGCATCAGCAGGTCAACACGAAGTGTTATAATCATCCAGTAGGTTATAGCTGTTAAAGATTCATTTCAAAGAATTGTACTTTATACGAAGAAAATATTAGCAAGTTGTTTAAATTATTTCTACACAGCTACAAGAAACTACGTTTTCGATAATGCGGAAGGAGATTTCAAGACTTCCAGAAAAATATTCATGGTTTATGTCAGTGATTTTTGCTTTTGAAAGCAGGTATTAGCTCAATTTATTTAAGCTTTAAAAGCTTTAGCAATGTAAGAAGCAATTAGCACCACCTAGAATAAACTTATAATAGATGGAAACACGTGACTTACAGTGAAAGTTCTGTTCAAAGAAACTTCAGTAAAAGTGCCAATAAAAAGAAGTATCAGACAGAACTACCCAGTGCCTCCTAAGCTATTCACTGCCTGTCGCTAAAAGGCGAATCAAGAGAAAAGATTAGGAGGATTAATGTCAAGGTTACAAAGACGACTACTGGGCAGGGCACTAAGATTTAAACCTATTTGTAAAGGATACCAAGCACTGTAGATTATTTTTACAGGAACCACTTGCAAAGCTACACAGGTTGCTCTCGGTTAGGGCATACAGGTCAAATCCTGACAGTAATTCATGATTAACCTCAAAATCAATTCCAACAGCAGTCTGGAGCTACTGACAATGTGTTATGAATATCCAGATTAACCTGAAATTGTCATAAACCGGTAACAGATTTTTTGAATCAAACCGTAAACATCATCTTAATCTCAACAGACGGCGGTCGTCTGAAGCACAATATGAGGGAATCTCGGGGTAAAACTAGATCATTCTTGTTTTCTTCGCTATCAAACTCAGTTTCTCCTTCATTCTTCTTGAAACACTATTTATGAATGTATATTCCATATGCTTAACTAACTTTCTTCGTAGAACTACTTATATTGTTATGTTCTATTTGTTTTGTATGTTAACTTGTAACCTATTGTCTGTATAACTTAGTCATTACTAGGTTTAATTACCCAAGTTTGAGGTTTGGAATAAATTTATTGGACCCAATCAGTCCCGCGTGGCAGGCAAAATATCCACTCACGAGTTTTACTAGCAATAAAACTGTAGCATACTGAAGAAAAGAGGAAGTGATCCTTGAGATACAGTACCTGACTCAGGGAATTGACTATTATACCGGTCCTCGATAGCAAGGAGATACGAATCAAGATAAAGCTAGAGGACGCGAGGAAGAAAACCAAAAAATAGAAATAACTTTCTCTTTTTTTCACACCGTCTGCCTGGAGAATTTTTTAAGAGAGTTGGACCGCCAGCATAGATTAGTGTTTGATGGCAAATGGCGAATTCATCCTGTATTCATAGATAGCATAACACAAATAGAGGCTATTTTCACAGTCCTCCTTTACGCACTTTGGAAGCAGTTTGTGTCCTTTTAAGATTCAGCTCACCGAACTCCTTTCGTAGACAATCATGCCCATTCTCCTTCTCATATAAAAAAGAGGAAGCTGAATACTCTGCAAAGCTCTATTTTGTTGAAGGTGAAGCAAGATGTGTCGACAGAAACAAGGCCGTTTGCAACTTTTTCAGTGGAAGTAATTTTTGCTTCAGAGCCAGCAAACAACAGAAGCACAACAAACGTCTATCTTTTTATCTTTCTCTTCCTTAGTTGTAAAACAATATTATTCAAGGTTCTGGAGAAGAACAACCAATATTTTCAACAGTAAGTTTTCAGTGTCTGTTGGTACTCTCTATTTCGTCAACAAACTTTCGTTCACTTTTTTACCACTTTCAACCGTAATGTCGTGACCAACCGCCTATCCTTTTAACTGGTGAAATTTAGACTTTGAAAAATCCTAACAGCTTACAGAAGCACCAAACAACGTTAATAAAAGTTCTCAAACTTACTGAATTTCAGAGTGAACGTTTTCACAAGCGTGAGATCTGAAGAGTTTGCATGGTCTGACAAGCAGTGGCGTTACTGCATTCCACCCTTATATTACAATTTTCTTCACTAAATGAAAAAAATCTTACAGTTTTTTAGTTCAGCCATAATTCTAAGCATCTAAAAAGCAGCAGTATGCGAAGATTCCCAGTTCATTTAAATTGGAAAATTCCAGTTTTTGAAGCAATGCAGCGTAACAGTGAAATACATCCAATTTTGCAAACGAATCGCACTTTGATGATTCCCTTTGCCAAAATACGGTCAACACATTCGTCTACAGCAGTTTTTTCATGGACGGTTGGATTGGACTGACAACAGTCGAAAAAGGTACGATAGTACATGGTAATTTTTCTTCATCTCTAATTGAGATGATTACAACGTGGTCTGATCAGACTGTTAAACGCCTAAGAGCTTTTTTCATTGCAATTGTTTTTCTGTTTTGAACTATGCCAGTGCATCTGTGAAGTTCTTCAGAGCGTTTAGCAGTATATCTATGCCCTATGGCAATCTAGCTTTCTGTAGAACAGAGTTTGTTGCTGTAATATTTTGTTGTCATCACCCTTGCCTGTTTCGCATATCAATCTATATTTTGCTTAACTCTTGGGTTTATCGTTTATTTTCTTTCTGAATTGTGCTAGGAAGTTGTTGTGATGTAAGGTTTTTCAGTCGTGAAAGTTAATTTGGATACTTGTTTGGTTGATGTCGAGCACTTATAATCATATTCCTTTTACTGCTTCTATGTTTTATGGAGATTCCAGACAGCATTTTGGTTATACTCTAGCTAAAGAAAATTCCAGTGCTATTCATGCTATGCGCCTATTTTATGAGTAAGTTTAATTACTAAATGTTTCTTTAAAAAGGGGCAGTATTTTTGCCGTTTGGACTAGTAGTTTCGTAAAAAGAAGCAAATCTTAAAGTTTAGGTTTTCTGGTCTAAACCGATTGACTCCTAACGACGTAGGTAGGGAGAAAGTTGTGGGATTGGTTGATGGAGAGGTCAGTTCAGCATTTCAGCAGAATAAGGTGAGTAGCTTTTACGATTTTTTGGGTCAAATTTTAGCGACAGTAGAGTTCAGAGCAGTAGGCATATTGCTTTGTTTTTTATACTGAGAAGTCGAATTGGAAAACTGCTTATTGTTGAAAATTTTTTCTGTTTTTTTAGCAGGTTTTCGGCTCATTTTTGCTGTTTAGCTTCAGAACAAAATCGCTGAAGAAGTATGTCGATGTTCAAGTGCAATTGTTGATCATTTGATAAAAACCATAAAAGCCCAGGTAGTTTCACAACCCCAGGCGATTGTTTCATCTTCTGCTGCTTCATATTCGCAGACGTCTTTTTCAAGTAATTCTTTGATAGAAAATGACTCATATTTCTTCATTGAGCAGATCGCTAACTTGATTGAAGTCCTTAAATCACTAATTTTCACTTCTCACACTCTGCAGTCGTCTGCAGACATAGGAAACAGGTTTAGGTTTCAATTAACTCTAGTAAGCTGCAGTTTTACTCGTAATTTACATTGGTTTGTAAAAGTTTAGAAATTTTTAGTGAGTTTCGCTACTATTTTCAGATTTTAGAAAGTCCAACAGAACTGCTGAATGCTTAACTGCTCAAATGACCGCTTTTTCTCCACTGAGCATGATATGCGCTGTGCTTTTACCTATACCACTACCTTTTTGTATGTCTCATCGATTGTTTGCTGGAGCTAATGGTTCATTTTATCGCAAAGATTCTGCAGTGGTCCTTCATAATGATTGCTGTATTTTAATTTTATAATTATAAGCTTGCTTTTGCGTTACTTATACTGAAATTATTGGGACAGCTTTTTAAGGAAAAAGGAGGTAAAGCGGTTACTAGGTATTAAATTAGTATATTTCAAATTAGCTGAGAGAAGTCTTTAATATTTTTTTGCTGCATATACTTCTTCGTCTTCGAAATAACTTCATTTTGTTTGTAAAACTTTTGTGATGCACTGTTCGCTTCATTATGTTCTTTTATAGATCAATTGTGTAGCTATGATGTAGATAATCAATCTTTTGCAAAATCTACTGAAAGTGGTTCACCTCATCGAAATTCTGTTTACCCGGATGTTAATGAATATTTCGAGGAGAGAGCAAAAATTTTCAAAAGCCAGGTTCAGTATACACGGAAAAAAATTTTTCATAATGATTCATCTGATGAGTTCGAGTCGCAAGAGTCTGCAGGAAAAGGTTTCTTTTGTACTTTCATTAGAAAAGCGTGATATTAAAATAATGAAATTATAGCGTAAATTTTTTTTGGCAGTATTGCAGTTTAAACCATTGCTTAACGCGCTTATCTGTTTCATGCTGCGCCTTTATGGCGGATCGTGATTATTTAGAACTCAGTTTTGTAGCGATCTGTCTGCAAGCGTGAAAGTTTCGGTCCTATTCTTCTCCATTGTTTTTAAGCAGGATTGAAGTGCTTTTTATATATTTTCAGTCGGTACAGAAATGCCTGCATAGTGACAGTCTTTCAGCTATGTAGATGGGGTTGATTAACCCACTGTATAATATGAACGAAAAAAATATTGAAAATCTGCTCGAAAACACGCATGGGTGGTAAGCCTGAGGCCTAAGTGTTTCCAGTGCTGCAGTTTTGGAATCAGACTCTGAACTTCCAGGCCGCATTTCATCATAAGATTGTATCAAACAAATATAAGAGCAGTGAGCTGGAGTTTAATATTAGTTGTTTAAAAATAGGAAATTTCTGCACAGATATTGCTGAGATTAATTAAGGAGAATAGATTAGAGTTAAGGGTCCGAAATACAAAAATGAAGATACTCCAATAAGACAAAACGCGTGGTTGGCAGTATGCATTGTAAACTGCAATAGCGCCGTCTTTTTTTTTTCTTTTTAAAAATCAAGTCACGGAGGATTGATCTTTGTTTGTAGTTATTCTTATTGCAGCAGTTATAAGTAATTACAAAAAAGTTTATCGGAGGAAATCTGGAAGACAAGCGGCTAAACTACTGAACTCATCGCTGAAAGATTCCCAGTTCAACAATACAAGATCCTGGCGGAGAAATCATAAACACTTTGTAAAACCAAAGAATTTAATTCATGATGAAAGTAATGGAGTGGAATGTGGAAAGGTTATTTTTTATTTTTGTTATTACTAGTTTTGAATATAGTTTATTGTTGCTGTGAATTACAGAATATGAGAAATGTGTGTATATTTTTTTTGGTTAAACTTCGAGAGTACTTGTGTATAAGGGAGTGGGAGTTGTCTTGCGTCTTACTTTAGATTTATTTGTAGGTTTGGTGGGTTTTGTGTAGAATAAGATGTCTTTTCTAAGAGATTTTTTTGTTATAAGGCCAAGCTCTTTGAGACTCTTTAGTTACATATTGTTAAGCTTATTTGTTTTGCTAAATATCTATTTGAGATTTAGTTGATGGAATTTTTCAAGTAAGGACAAGTGTACGCGGGAACTTACTTTTTCATTTGTTGGAAAGGTCAAAGGACGGATTTTATAGCATTGTGGTGCTAACACAAAGTGACTTTTGATAGGAGATATTCGGACTCAGTTTTCGTTTGTTGGCCCGTTACTGGTATTGGTTATATAAATCAGAGCCACGTGTATTACATTTGGTGCGCTTTAGTTTAATTGGCTAAAAAAGTAGGGCTACCAAACTGAAAGCGCTCCGATATTCGTTATGGATTATGGCCGCTGTACCGCAAATTGTTAGAAGCAGTATCTTTCCGCAATATTGTTACGTTGTAGTTTAGGGTGCTTTATTTACAGAAACGAAAGATAAGCTATTTTTGAAAATATCAGTTTAGTTTTTGTATTACAGTCTACAGAACGTGGTTAAGAATTGAAGAGTAAAGTGAGTTGAAGAATCATTTTTGCTTATAGAATCAGTATAGTCAGGTTTTGATATCCACACTTGGAATGACATTTTCTTTAATATGATAATTTGCAAAAAATGCCGAAATATGCTGTAACAGATATTATGCAAAATACTGATTCATTCGAAAGTTGAGATAGTTTTATCGACTGTGAGTAGTAGAAAGCTACTATTCTTGTATTTGAAAGCACTCTTTGGTAAAGTTGTTTTATTGTTTCAGCGGACTTATTTGTTTTACTCATGGGTGCTTGGGGAGCCAAAACTAGGTGTTTTAAAAGTGTCACAGTTTTATTCTACCCTTCGAGCATAAATTTCACAACGCCCTTTCAATACCGTTATATTCTTTGAAAATTTTCGCTAACATATGAAGTTGCTTTACCGGAAATCTGCTTGAAATTTATTTATTATACATCTAAAGAGGCTGATGTTATAACAACTGGCTCAACAGAGACATGTTTGTTAATTTGCAGGTAGAACTGGTATTTTATGTAAAGAAGGCGCGAGACCAGGACGGTAAGGTTTTGTACACGTCTGATGAGTCAT